TGTCTCATAGTCTAGTGGCTATCAGTGCAACTGCCAGCAAGCAGCTCTGCCGTCTACCCTTCGATTATTCAGGGGGCACCTGTGAGTGTGTGTTGTGGGGAGAGGGGCATGTGACCATCATGGCTTCCTGTTGTGTGCTGAGCTCCACGGTGTGGGCTCTGGGGGCCCTACACCCCTCTAGACTCTGCCATGTCCCCTCTGAGAAGCCAGAGAGCAATTGTGCATTCCCACAATCACCTTTGCATGGTGATTTACTGGGCACTTGACAGGTGCAGGCACCTGTGAGGCAATGGAGACAACGTGCTCCCCACTGTGCACCATACAGAGGGCATACACCAAAGGGAGTTCGCCTCCTCAAAACCTGGGGAAGCTGGGCTAACCAAAAGGTTAAACCTAATGGCATTTCTTTATGGTGACATTAAGAAAAACACAAAGATAATGACAATCGTGATCTCTTATGTGTTTAATGTAAACATTTCTTGACCAAAGTAATGACTGTGCTTGGGGTGTTCTCCAACTTTGAAAAGAAATACTCCAGTTACGTTTTTGGGTTTAGGGAGAAATCTCTAGGGAGGGGACACAAGAATGTTATTTTTAAGAACAAACCAAGGAACTACATTATATAAAATTCACAGGGTCACAGGAGATAAAAAAAAATTAACTTAATTACACAAGATTTTGTGTGTGGGTGAGAGAGAGACAGAAAGAGAGAGGGAGGGAGAGAGCGAAAGAGTATGAATTTTCTCTACCATAATATCTTTCAGTTGTTTGAGGTGGCAAAGAGTTCTGTTTGGTTAGGAAATTCCAACAGGTGCTTGGAAGCTCACATAGAGCCTACATTTTTAAGGATCTCATCTGAAATATTACTTCCTTGACCCTAAATTCATTCATTTCATAAATCCGAAAAGAGAAACCGATAGGGCCTGTATTTCAATTGGTTGCCCAGAAGACAATAGATTCTAATTCACATTTCTTCTTGTGGCTACACAGACTTCAGAAATAAATGTTGTAGTTGTTTTTACAGTGCCACATGCTTCATAAACCCAGCATTAGCGCTTGCCTTTTGAGTTAAACCTCAGCTATATTTGCACTCTACGCGTCTATAAATGGAATTCC